TGGCCTCATCGTCATCCTGTTGGTAGGAATATAGCCGCCGTTGATATACTCCAGAGGGCCATTGTGGACACGCGTCTTCACGGCAGCCGAGCCAGCGTTCCCGAGTGTGAGAAATGGAGCACTGATGACGATGATGGCGGTGATGATTGTTGGTTAAAGGAGCAGAGATTCCTCAAAAGTCACGGTATACAACTCCGTACCACTCAACTGCACTCAGTATCTTACTTCCTTCACGCATGCTCGGTAACAGCTGTACCATCATACCAGTTGCATCAATGATGCGCAATTTTAATTAAGGGTCTCGCACAAATTTAACCGCACGTCTTACATCGGTTTAACTCCGTAATTTACGGAGTCATCGCCTTCGCCATTCACTCACCTCTCGAGAAGAGAGCGTACACACACATTAACTTCATTTCAAATGGAGTGCGCTTACCAATAACGCATGGTATTCCAGCACCATCTGTTGAACAACCCCGACTCTCCTGCTGCCGGTGCAGAGACTCAAACACTCCAGCAGGAGGACGAAACCGGCGCAGATTGCTCGCTTGAACAAAGTCTCCGAGATCATATTGGTCTGGAAAGCCAATAATAGTCTGACGGACTAGAATACGTCCTTAACTGTGCGTGGAGACGGAACGGAACTGTGATTGCATTTTCTTCTGCCCTGTGCTGCCCCCCCAAAGCAACGCAACGCGAGTTGACGCGCGGTGCTGGCGAGGAACAAATCCGCGTTGCGGTGTCTCTCCAAACTCGTCTCTCTGTTTTAACGATTCCGCGTCCTGCTGTGGTTGAGGGCTAAACCCTTAAGGTATGTTCAAGAAGCACCAGTTTTGTTGCCAGAAAGGGTAAAACCTTTTCTTATAAGCTCCTTTAAAAAAACTGTCTTAAACGATTAAATACATATATTTAAAAAAATCATGCATGTGCTCTGAAGAACGGCCATTGCCCCGAAACGTCGCTTATAATAACAAGTATTATTATATTGTTGGTTCTTTAGGTAAAGTCACGTTGAAGGGAAACAATAAAATAATAAAAAATATATAAAACAATAAAATTCTCAAGACGTTTCAACTGCAACACAAGCAGTCATCATCAGGTGTGAAAACCAACGGTTGCAGTCGAAACGTCGTGAGAATTGTATTGTTATATATATTATTTTATTGTTTCCCTTCAACGTGACTTTACCGAAAGAACCAAGAATACGAATCACTGCAGTCATGAAAGCTTTAAATCAAAAGTATTATTATTAAGTATTGTATTGTATTATTAAGTATGATTGTTAGCGCAGGCCAGGCCATCAGCGACGCCACATTGTTTATCCCAAGCGAGAAAATGGCCAACAGAGGGCACCAGTGGCCGCGTTCACGGCGTCGGGACGACGTCGTCTTCATCGACGATGACGACGCTCGCGGTAGCCGAGTGGCACGCGGCTGCGGGCGGGCAATCGTCAACGCTCGCTCCTTCCGTTGTGCCCAGGGACCATCGAGGCCACACGTCCACCGTGACCTGTTGGGAACCTGCCAGTCAAACGAAAGGTCTCCCCTTAGCGAACGCAGGCAGCGCCGTCGGTTGCTAACTCGCGCGGTCTTACGCGGAGATGATAATGTCTGGTGTCGATAAATACACGAAATAACATAACGCGGTTTACGCGAGTGAGGGTGTTGAATCCATCTGTGCGGAGCTTTCAGTGTCATCCTCTATTATGCGTGTGAGTGGGGTTTTTTTCCTTCCCCGGGTTCTCGGGTTTCCTTCCACATACCAGGGGCTTCTTTTGTCGTCGTCATCATCATCAACATCGGCTATGACAAAGGGAATGTTTCATTGACATCATTGTGATAATGAGTGGCATCCAGTACATTATAGATGCCCCATGCTATCGCCCGCTGTACAAATGAAGGAGTTTCGAGGGCGCTGTAGGGATGGATGCGGACAACTCCAAACCACTGGGACCGTCCAGCGAGAAAAAATACAGGAGTATCCACTATTACTCATTCCTCGGAAACGTCTCTAAAATTCATCCTGTCCCTCCGAAAGCTCTTAACTTCATATCAAAATCGGAATACTTATTTATACCGGAGGAATCCGATGAGCGATGAAGCTCTTTTTCACAGATGTCCAGTAGAAGCAGGTCAGAACGTTACAACAACAATTTAAAAATACGATAGGAGTGCAAAGTAGAGTAAAGGTAAGAACATCCCTTGGGAAAAAATATGCACAAATAAAATTACATTATTTTGTTATTTCACCAGGTACAGCCCACTGAGCTATTACTTTCTTTTTCAGAAGCGACCTGGCCACAAACGATAGCTCAATGAAGTGGCTTATCACGTGGACATTTCTAGCAGCTAATTAATCTAAACGCATGTTTACAAACATTGCTGTTCCTGCCTGCTATTCACATCGTCAGACGCGTCTCTGTGCACGTGACAATGGGTAAGTAATGACAACAATGGAAATTCCGGGGCTTGCCGTGATAGGTAACGCTATCTTCCATCGATAGATCGCATTATTCTGCCACGTGCACTACTCACTTAACACACAGTTGCAGAGAGAGTCACGTGCTGGACAGTTGCTCAACACCACCGCCACCCATCCCGTGCTGCCTGGATATTATTGGCGTGACAGAATCAGAATATTTATTTCTAATGGAGGAATCCGATGAGCTATGAAGTTATAAAGCTCATTCATCGATGGTAATAATCGATGAATGGACGCGTCCTTATCATTCACGCGTCACTTATCGGGGCAATGCAGGAGGAAACACAACAGCGTGAAGGGTAAGGATGCATCCATTAATCGATTATGAATATTGTAATTATCTATTCTAAAGCTAAACTATGGGCGCATTCAATCGCGCGTCAGAATCTATCGCTCAACGACGTGTATTCGATTACTTTGCGGGCAGCAGTGGGCAGTGAAGCAATGCGCATTGCTGCACTCGACTTGTGCTTCTGTGCTATCCCCATCTATGTTTCCCACCTTCACTAACCCGCACTGTCCGCCGTGGTGAAGTATGGCCAAAGAACTCCCCACGTCCAACGCGGCGATGGGAGGCCTCGTGTCCAGCAGACGACGAACAAAGGGCTGTGATTACACATTAGTCGTAACGGATGCTGCAGAGGTGTTAATGGTCAGCACCACACTTTAAAACTTGCAATCGTGGAGCGCGCCTGTTCCATTTCACATACTGGCACGGCAGTTGAAACAATGGTGGAGGTTTCTTAAATCTTCTCCGATCGCCTCTGTTACACGCAGCACTGTAGCAACTACGATCGGAATTCTGCGTCTGGTGGGATAAAACGTGGGTAATCCCCCCCCCCCCTTCCAAGACGTTGAGACGTAGGCCAAAATACCCTGGTAAGATGGTCTCTCTCTCTAGATGCTATGTGTATCGTTTATTGTTAAATTTGAATCACAGTTCCTATGATTACTGTTACATTGTTGTTATATATTTATTTTGGTGATTTCGAAAATGTATGGTTATGCCATGTTTCATATTATTGGTTCTTTCGGTAAAGTCACGTAGAAGGGAAATAATAAAATCATACAAATACAATTCTCACGACGTTTCGATTGCAGCACAAGCAATCATCATCAGGTGTGAAAACCACAGCAAGATTCACACCTGATGATGATTGCTTGAGTTGCAATCGAAACGTCGTGAGAATGTTATTGTTTTATTTGTATTATTTTATTATTTTCCTTCTACGTGACTTTACCGAAAGAAACAAGAAAATGAATCCCTGCAGTCACGAAAGCTTTAAATCAAAATTTATGCCATGTTTGTTTGTTAACTTTAATCTAAATTGTCTTATGGTTGTTATTGTTTGACTTGCATCCCAATGGAATTTTTGCACACAGCATTGATATACGGTACTTTTTTCTGGAAGACTTTTCTGGGTTTTCCTGGATGTTTCTGTTGCGTGTAGTCACTTTAAGATGTTCTTTGTTCGTGTTTTTGTTTGTTGCGGTTGCACCCGAGTCAAGAGCCGCATGGCTCACAGGGCTATACCTAATACAATGAAATGAAACTGAAACTCTAGAGGCGGCTCGCATTAAACGGGAATCGAATTGTGCCCAGGCTCCAAATGAATATCGACAAGTAATCGTTTCGCGCACACACCGCGAGTTGATGGCGGTAGTGGTGGCGGCGATAAGGGCTAGCAGTATTCATGATCTGTGACATCTATTCCGACTCGCCACTAACGCTACTCCCCATCAGTTCCCCCTCCCCGCTCCATCCACCTCGCTCATCTGAATGAGTCAAGACGGCGGCTGCACGTGGTGTGAATATGATCTCGTAGACAGCGAGGGCTTTAACAATGCCATTTGTTTCATTGGCAAATGATGGAACTCCTCGAGGTGAGCAATTCCCAGTGACGATTTCATGCGTTATGGTGTGCGCACACGTGCATGCGTTGGTTATGATGATGATGCGGTGATGGTAAGATGGTGAGGATGATCATTGTGATGATATGAAGGTGGTGGTGATGATGACAGTGGTGATAATGATTATTAATGGTAATGATGTTGGTGGTAGTGATGGTGATGATGGTGGTGATCAAATTATTATATATGATAATTATGTTGATAATGATTATATTATTGATTGTAATTATGTTGCTGGCGATGATGATGATGGTGATGATGAGATTGTGATGATTATTATTATCATATGAAGGTGATTGTGGTAGTAATGGTGGTGTATTAATAATGATGAATGGTGGTGAGGATGAAGTTAAGATGATGATGATGGTGGTGGGGTGATGGTGGTGGGGTGATGGTGGTGGGGTGATGGTGGTGGGGTGATGGTGGTGGGGTGATGGTGGTGGGGTGATGGTGGTGGGGTGATGGTGGGGGGGTGATGGTGGTGGGGTGATGGTGGTGGGGTGATGGTGGTGGGGTGATGGTGGTGGGGTGATGGTGGTGGGGTGATGGTGGTGGGGTGATGGCGGTGGGGTGATGGCGGTGAGGTGCTCTTCTCGTCGTGTGATTCGCTAGGCACGTCCCCATGGCTTCATTCAAACTCTTTGAAAACTTCAAAGCGTGGAGCGCACCATCTCTCGCAGGGGGGTTTATCTCTACTCCGCATTCATTAAAGCGTACAAAACGAGACATTCTCAGATCAATGCTCGGCTTGTCGCCTAGCCGCTTTAATGCCAGGCGAAGGGAGTTAAACACGAAACGGGAAAGGGCGACAAGGTCGACGTGAACACGGCGCGCGGTCGAATGTGTGACATGTACCGCGAATCTCGGGCAAAACACGCGACGAATTCCCCCCCTGCGATAACGCCGCGATGGACGAGTCCAAAGACCCGGTCGAGATCGGAGAGTTGTAGGATTCCGGAGTGCACTGCTGGGTGCGTTTTCGAGATTCAGGTGAGCGAAGCCGAGCCGCGAACACGAGAAGATCTATCTATTGGTAGGCGGGGATCGAGCTGGGGGGGGGAATACAATCACGTTGTGCGGGACAGATCCCTTCCCTCACTAACGATTCTGGGTTTATTTTTTTAAAAACTCCGGAATCCACATCGCTGGAAATCCTTTGAGGGTTTCGCGGCCTCCCGGACGAGCCCCGCGTCCAGGGCGAATACGCGAGGGCCAGGAGTTACTTTCATCTTTTTTTGCTCGCTCGAGAAACTTGGCTGGGCGCGAACGCACGGACGGAACGAGCCGAGCGACGCAGTGCCAGGGCCTCGGAGTCGAACTCGGCAAGGGGGGGTGGGTGGTGGGGGGCGGTTTCTCTCCTTCGAGCGCATTTGGCGAGCTATACGAAGGCGGCATCCATCATCTCCGTCGTCTTCCTTCCCCCATCCTCCATCCCTCCTCATCCTCCATCCCGCATTGCTTAATTATTTCTTTACGTTCTCCCTCTACCCACCACCACCCCCCCGTAACGCCACCCGCACGAAACAAACCACAGACAGCTCGAGATTTGCAGAGGTAAACGTCGAAGAGCGAGAGAGAGAGATACGGGGGAGGAGGAGGCGGGGGGCGAAAAGAAAGATTTGAGAGAGCGAGAGAAGAGTGGTGGAGAGGCGAGCTCTAGCGAGACGGAGAGAGCACAGAGAGAGAGTGAGAGCTTTGGTGGGTGGGTGTGTGGGGGGTAACAGGCGAGAGAAGAGCCTGGAGAGAGGGAGGTGATGCCGGAGGCAGTAGTAGGAGGAGGAGGAGAAAGAGACGGCATGATGGCGCGGAGGAGGATGAGCGCCCTCGTTCCGCGCGCTCCACGACCCCTCCTGACCGCCGCGCTCGCCGCCCTCGCCTGCTGCCTGTTGTGCTCTCTGCCCGGCGAAAGCCGCGGGGGCGACGCCGAGGTGACCTCCATGGTGGCTCGAGCGAGACTCCTGGCCGAGCACATGAGGAAACTTTCCACGGAGGAGTTGGGGGTGGACACCCTGCAGGTGAGGTCTCGTTTGTCGCCATCGATCGGCGCGCGCCTTGCCGAGCCGTCTTAACTAAACGGATATTGTGCCCGTGCCATCAGGATTGTAAGACACGAAAGCTTTCAATCGAAATTTACCCCCCCCCCCCACCGCTCGCCAATGTTAAAGAGACTCTTTGGAGGCGCGCGTCTTATAATCCTGTGTGTGTTGTGGCCAGATTTGTGTAATTGTCACTGAAACTGCAGGGTTTTCGCAAGCCAATTTTTGTTCGTAATTGACAGGGGAGGAGGGGGGGTTATGGTTGTTTTGGGATAAGCAAAGTAAATTATCTGGTCAAATATGCGTCGTTAAGACATTTGTTTGGCCGTTTCGGGTGGTGGAGGGTCTTGACGACACATTAGGCCAAGATCATTTGCGCGGCCTTAAACTCCGGTGAGTTGTAGCGTGCAATGTGAAACTCTATACGTGCCGGGCACATGGCTTTGGTTTTCACTTATAATCCGGATAAAACGACGATGTTGTTGAGCTTTCAGCGATTTGCAACCAAGGTGGATGGGGTTCATGATTCAAGTAGCTCCGTCTAATCCATTCCAGGGAAGCATGGTAACTCGTAAAGTTGAACAACCGGTTCATTACACCTTACCACATGCTCATGTCGCTACAGTTTTAGGGAATTGCTCGATAGGTTATAGGCATACCGGCTAAATCGAATGTTCCCGAAACTTGGAGATACAAAACCAGAGCGAAGTTTACTAATGTATTTACAAATATGTTAACCGGTTTCTCGGCACCCATTACCGCTCATTGAATACTTCAGAGTACACACACACACACAGTGCTGGAAAAGCATTACGCAATCCATGCGTGTGCATAATTTTACCAACGTGTTTATTGTTGTTGTGGTGATGGTGGTTGTTGTGGTTGTTTTTTGACCGGGGAGGGGGCGGGGGGGGATCGGTTGGGGTGGTGGATGAATAAGACGTGTGGGAAGGGGGAGGGGGCCGAGATGAGTTCAATAATTCAATAACAAAAAGCAGTCTTCCTTGATGATGGGACTGCCCGTGTGTGGGCATTATATGCAACTTTGTTGCAGGAGTGTAATGCGACGTGTATGCCCCCCCCCCCCCGGCCGCATGGATTGCTGACTCCGTCTATGCGGAGATGTGAGCGTTCTCGCCTCGTGCGTGTGTGCGCGTGGTGGATTTTCTCGGCGGCTGCCTCCGATTTCCCGACCCCCCCCCCCCCCACGTGTGACGCTTCCAACACTCGCGGGTTTCCATCAGTCGAACATCACCAATCCGCGTAGCAGGAGGTAGAGGGGGGGGGACCTTTCTTCTTCTTCCTCCTCAGAGTCTCAAGACGTTCGTAACGTAGACCTCAAACCGCTTTGTTCCAAGTGAGACTCGGATGAGAATGATTACTCGGCACAGCGAGCGGCGAAACATCGCCCGCGTCCAGACTAAATGCTACCAGTGAGAAGCAGCCAGGCCACCGCCACGTTCGCTCGCGTGTGCGCACACACGCAAGGACACGCGTGTGTACACACACGCAAGGACACGCGTGTGTACACACACGCAAGAACACGCGTGTGTACACACACGCAAGGACACACGTGTGTACACACACGCAAGGACACACGTGTGTACGCACACACACGCAAGAACACGCGTGTGTGTGCACACACGCAAGAATACGTGCACATGCAAGGACACGCGTGTCTGCACACGCAAGAACACGCGTGTGTGCACGTATGAGCACGCACTGTAACATACACATATATACATAGGTTATCATACACACACATGCGCGCGCGCGGTTACATAAAGACACAATTACCTATAGAGGAATGCACGCACACAAAAACAAGTAAATACATAAGCAGGAACCCAGGGATACAAGACCAAGGGTTTGATGAAACAAAGTTACACTTAACGTGCCCGTGCTTAATTTGTATTTTCGATTATTTACCGTGTAAAAAAATCTACCCATGCTTCGTACCCCCAGAACAGGCATCTTCCCCCCCCCCCCAAGGGGTGCGTGCACCCCAGGTTACGAAGAACCACTGCCCTATAAAACCTTAACAGACGGTTGGGGTAAGTGCTGTTAGTGAGCACCTATTGAGGCCAGTTCGGTACACGAGGGGGTGGTGTGGCCAACACCACGTTCGACCGGCAGCATTTGTCTCACCGGCACTCGTTTATGGTTGAGTCGACCTAGGGGAGGCGCAGGACCGGTTCCGATATTCGTAATTGGTCACCGATGTTGGCCGCGGACGGGGAATCGAACTCTGCCGCTAACATCTCTGCGCCACCCCCCCTCCCCACACACAAGTACGCTCTCACACGTGATGACCGTAACACAATCGCACGAGCACACGCGTGTACACGTGTGTACAACATGCGAAAACACGCATGTGTACACACGAGTACACACGCGTACACACGCAGATCTCTGGAGAGCCCCGTGAGCATTGAATTAATTCAAAGCTCAACACACTCGTCAACAACAATGCCCTTAAAATATGTAATAAGCGGCGATTTGGCCAATGACCCTCTTGATACATTTGTTGGCACTCATTTCGCACCGCACGTGGCCAACTTATGTGGGTCATAAAACCACGTGCTTTAATTTTCTAGAGAGATGAGAAGTGTTCCAATTGACGTTCCGTCTTCTATCATCTTGCGCTCAACTATGGGAACATCTGGCAGCATTGTTTGAAGCCTGGCCAGACTGCTGGTGAGTTACGCTGCATGTCGCAACCGCTCGAGAGAGCTTGCTTGTATCGAACCAATGTGGTCGTTAACAACAACAAACGCACACCCATTAGGTCTGTGTGGCCGATGGGTTGTTGTCCAACGATGTCGTTACGTGGAGAAATAAATACGGGAAGTCGGGCCGGGGGGGGGGAGGTGCGTGAGTAGACGAGTCCTTGGGTCTATGGATATGGTTGGGCTCGGGGCTAGTCGTGGGACTAGGGAGTGTAGCCCCCATCATAACCGAGTCCAGGCAGCCGACTGGGCGTGAGCGGCGACTCCTACCGGGTTGCGGGCAAGACCCGTTCGAGGTACATCGTCAGTCACGTCATCTTCACCTGGGGAGGGAGTGCGGCGGCGGAGGAGGACGGGGAGGGACTTTGTGGCGGGCAAAGGTGAAAAGCGGTGGCGCGGTGGTTAACGCGCCTGCGCTCTGAGCATGCACCGCCCGAGTGAGAATGGCTCTGGGCCACGGCTGCGTTTGCGTGGCTCGGGGGAGGCATGCATATAGAACATTCGGTACATGTGAAGCAAGCTTCGAGCGAACCTCAAACGGGCGACTGAGTGCCTACCACGCATGCGACCCGCGTCCTGCACTCGGCCTCTTCGTCGCATCCCCCCCGCCCCCTGCGTGTGGTGCCGCCTGTCTGACTTGACTAGGAATCGAGAAGGGGCTTGCTGACGGGGCTTGCTGTGAGCCCCTCCCAAAACATTTGACGCCAACCTGGTTGCACGGCTAACATCAGTGGCGAGTGGTATCCCAATCAGTCGTGACCTCTCCACCCTCGCTGCTCCCCTCCTCCCCCCACCTTCAAGGTGGCGAGATGTTAACTACCTCGCCTGGTATGCAGGAGGTGGTTATTTCGATCCCGGCCCTGATGCCTGCTGTATATTTGCAGTTTGCGTGTCTCTCTCTCCGTGGCCGCGTGGATTTTTCTCCGGGTCCTCTGCCTTTTTTTCCCCCCTCCACATTTAGAATCAACGTGCGAATTAAAGTATTTGGCTACTGCTATACATTTATACGTGATCAGCCACTTGGTTGAGCTATCATTTGTGGCCAGGTCGCTTCTGAAAAAGAGCTATATAGCTGAGTGGGCCCTTAACTAATAAAATATAATGTTAGAAAATGCATTGGCAGTGTTTCAAAAAGTCCGAAACAGTGGTGCAGGAGAGTGTAATCGCCCTGCATCCATAGAGCTGCGCTTTATAAATAAATACATATCCAAACAAACTGTTTAGGCACTGTCCCTTGACGGTAATAAACTATCAACATAGTTTATGCAGCCCTGGTGTCAGTTGACTGCCAGATGAGGGCCTCTTCTCACACCATGCCGGTCGTGGCGATTACTTGGCCATACTTCACCACCCTGGTCAGCGCGTGTTGGTGGAGGTGGGGGGAGTGTAATAATGATGACCTGTGTATTCCTCGGAAAGCCTCGCTGAGTCTCGAGGGGTTTGCAGAGGGGTTCCTGAATTGAGATCTTTGGCCCAAGACCCATTTCATTGAGCGTTTGGCAAAGAAACCTTTTGCCTGCAATGTTGTTATACGTCTCTTGTGGTAATTCGTTCATGCCACCGAGTTTAATGCTCATAACCCAAAGTGCCAAAGTATTCCTAAAACTGTTTATTTACTTACAAAATCATCGAGCGTTATGTAAATGATTGCGAAGTAAACGATTTTCCGTAACGTGTAACGTAAACACCGCAGATGGATTAGCCCCAACTCCCACATAAGGAAATAACAGGACAGCGGTTGCCATCGATGCGCGTGCACGCACTTCACAAAAAAAAGCCCCACCGTTTGTGATGAACACGGCCTTCAAACAGGACATCGTCTATACAACCTCATTATGGGTAAAAGCATATACAACCATAAGTCGCAAATATAAATACAATTAAAAAGGTAGTCCATCACCCGGGGTGACTTTCCAGAGCATTATTAACCAGCAGCAGCATTTGTAAACAGACCCTGACTGCTGATGAAATATAGAAAAGCAAAACCAGTCCAGAGTTTCCTCACTTCAACAAATGCTGCTGTTGCTGCTGCTGAATAACATTGCTCTCGAAAGCCAAGAGGCCAACGGACTATGAATAATGTGTGTTTTGTTTAGATGCGGAGACGGTGGAGTTGCGCCAATTATGTTATCTGCGGTAGGGGTAGCGTCGGAGTCTGCGTAATGGGCAATTCTTCAGGATAGACGTATTTTAGCTGACAACGGATTTCCAATTAACTTTTTTTTTGTCGAACGAGTGCCGTTCACGTGA